CACCTTATCTTCGACTGTTTGGCGTACAGAATGGCATGTTTGATTCGTGGTCGTTGACGCATGTCGGAGTTTCGGATTCCTTCTCTTACTTGTGCGAAACGGGATACTCCTAGCATCGCCCTTTCGACGGCGCGTTCAATAACGCTGAATGATCTCTTATCCTGCTTACGCAGCGACAAGGTTTCAGACGCATACGTTAGGGCAGGAATTACCTCTGAGTCGAAAAGATGAGCACGGAGTCAGCTGTTCTCTGTTCTCCTCACTACATCATCGATGCTCTTGAAAGCTCCCCAAACCGCTCATTACGTTCTGCTCAGCTCTCGAGCTAGGTCGTTCATCATATTGATTTCCCGACCTAGATAGATACAACTGGATCATTCGGAGATATTCGCTCCATTAAGCATGAATGAGGCATACGAAACCAATTCGTTCCTCATGAATATCGTTTCTGTGAGATTTAGTCTAAGACTAATCTTTCCACAGGCCTTTCAAAGTTGGCAAGAATAAGTTCCGCTTGGCTAATGTCTGGTGTTATAAGGATGATTTCATCAGCAAAGTAAAGACGATGCAACTGACGACCGTCGACGTTCACTCCCATGTTATCCCATTCCAATGTTCGCATGACGTTCGCGAGGGTGGCGGTAAGTAATTTTGGCGAGATGGTACCGCCTTGCCTAATCCCTCTTCTGACGTCGATGTTAATATCGTTGTAGAATGGTGATATCTTGGTTGTAAAATTTTTGTACAACTCCCGAAGAATCTTTATGTACTGAGACTCCTGGACTATCAAGAGATTCCAAGACTGCTTCTATCTCAACTGAGTCAAATGTTTTCTCTAAATCGATGAAAGTGAGACAGAGCGATCTTTTGTACTCTCGCGATATTTCAATGAGCCTTGTTACCGTGTGGATGTGGTCCATCGTACTAAATTCTCTTCGAAACCCTGCTTGCTCACATGGCCGTCCTTCGTCTATTGTTCTGTTAATCCTGTTTAGGACGACTCGAGTGAAAAGTTTGTAGACGACAGAGAGCAATCAGATTGGGCGGTACTTGCCGATATCATGTAGGTCACCCTTCTTGAACAATAACACCGTCTTGCTGGTCTTCCACTGAGTAAGGACCTTGCATTCAGACAGGTAACGTGTGAATAGCCTAGCCAGTGTGTTCACGAGGACTGGCGGAAGGTTCTCCAGGTGTTCTGATCTTATCCTGTCCGGACTTGGTGCTGTCCGATTTTTCACCGACGAAATGGCATGTCAGATTTCGGAAGGGAGAACCGGTGGTACAACATATCCATCCTCCTTTATTTCGTATGGCGCAAGGTGGACGTGGCTATCAAAGAGATCCGAGTAGTATTCGTGAATGATTTTCTCCATTGCCTTTCTGCACGCTGTAACTGTTCCGTCTAGGCGCCGGAGTGCAATCATCTTGGCCTTATAATTGGCAAAGCTTCGGTGGGCTTTGCGAATGCTTTTCCCAGTCTCTGCTGTTTCGACCATTACTGCTGCCCTTCTCTCTTAAGATCTTCTATTATCGCCTGCCTGCATTGTTTTGCAAATTTGGACGCTAGTTCGCGGTTGCCTGCAGCTAGTGCGATTCCACGCTGCCGTATCAGCTCGAGTGTTTCTGGAGGCAAACGTCTCTAGGTGACTTTCGAACTCTCAGCTTTCATAGCGCTATCTTGAAGGTTTTGAATGAGCCGAACGTATCCTTCGTCGATGTTATCGACAATGGCAGCATAGTCCCATTAGCCGACTAATGAATTAAATAAGTTTTCCCAGTTTCCCAGTGAATAAGTCCCAGTTTTCGATGGTTCTGATACTTCGGTTTTGGAATTTATCGGCTTTTTCTCCTTTCCGCGAGAAATAGAATCTTGCACGAAGGAGACGATGGTTTGACCCCGTGTAGAATTTTGGAACAACAGCGGCATCGGTTAGGCAAAAAATTCGATTTACTATGATGTGGTCTATTTCGTTATGGCACTCTCCACTGGGAGACTGCTAGGTCCAGCGCTGAGGGTGAGGCTTCTGGAATTGCGAGTTACCATAGGTTGTCTTGATCGCCATGATAAACTCAGACAGCTGCACACTCTGTTCCTTCCATTCTAATTCGTGGATCCCAATGTGACGTTCTTCAAACGTTCTTCTTGGCCCAATCTTGGCGTTGAAATCTCCAATGATGATCTTGTGGTCTTCTCTGTGGAACTTTTCCAATTCCATATAGAACGCTTCGACTTCTTCTCAGAGTTTGATGTCGGCGCGTAGACGACGAAGATTGTCAAAGCCCAAATTGATCCATGTCTTTTTAATCGTAAACGTCCGATTCGGGTTGTAAGTTGTTCGAATGAATCGATGTTCATGGACAAAATCGTGTTGACAAGAACACTGACGGAGCCGACTTCTCTACTGTCGCATGTTCCGAGGAACAGTTCTTCTCCCGTGTCATAGACGGCGTTGAAAGACTGGCGTCTTCTCGTCTCGGCCAGGCCGATGACGTCGTACTTTATCCTTTTTGTTTGCATGAGTAAGTCTTCTATCGAGGACTTGGATGCAAGTGTACGTGCATTGTAGGTACAGATCGTCACCATAGTTCTTTGAAATCCAGGCAGCTTCCATTGGCCCTGAGATTTTAGCAGCCTCTCCATACTCGTCCTATCCAACGCTGCGAAATTGGGAGATCTTTCGGGGTCAGTGGAATGATGCCCGTTTCTTTTACTGTATTTAGCATTTTTGATACTCACGTATAGCTTGCTGGGCTCTGAACGTGGGAGCTGGGTATACTCACGGGTAGCTTGCCAGGCTCTCCCAGAGTGGACATGGAGCTTATTTGATGGAAGCGACTCCTAACCGCCTCCCATATACTTCCCAGTCACTTGATTACAGGCTTTTGGCCGAATTGACTCGTAGAATACAATCCGCACAAGCAAGAACGCACCCACACGCGCATGCATGAAGACGCCTAGCAAATACAGAAAGTATGTGCCAAATCAGCGCAGCAGAAACAGGGAGTCCACCCCTGGATCCACCTGCATCTCAGGATAACATTCGGTCGCTTTTGGTCCGCAATTAACCCCCTATTGGCCACTTGGGGACGCGCCACGTCGCCTCGCGACTAACCGGCTCGAGATCCCTCAAATAAGGGAGATCCGTGGATGACTAGTAGTTATCGGACTAAGTGTTCGTTATAGAAAACACTGAAAAACATACTATATAAGTTGAAAAACATCCAGGTCCTGATAGCAGCATGTTTGCATAGTGGACTCTATCGGCATCTAGTAAGCAGTAGCATGCCAAGTTCCCTACCACAGCTCTGTCATGTTTGCAACTACTCAAGTCCTCTAATTATCAAAAATTTGTCGTTCACTGTCAAAAAACCCGTTAAGTCCGTAAAGGTTGGGAATCATGGACTGTCCCAAACGGCAGGCAAGCCAAGTACGGCGTGGGTGCTAAACGTGGCTTGTTCCTTGACGCTCCAGCGAGTAACGAACACACTGTTAATCGTCAAAGAGATATTTTTGTGAGGCTAAGGAGGTTACTGATGAAGACCCACCTCTATAAGGATAATCACTGAGGACTTCAACGCCGAAATCGACTCCACGAAGACGTCACAACTCCACATCGTGGCGCATGATCTATAATAGAGCTAAGACGTCAAAAGACTGTCTGAGTCCTTCATGATGACCACTGTCCAATAACAGCTCAAAATTCCATTAGTTCATCTCCCACCGCATTGGATTTTGCGTTCGGAAGTAATAAAAATAATAATAATAATATTGATATTAATACTAACAATAATATTAATAACAATAATAGTAATAAATATTTACACCTTCCGTTCTGGTTTCTTCCACAACTATCCCACGTGCTTTCATAGAATCTCAGGAAGGTTATAGTTCATTCATCAGGTTCACTCCATTATGTTTTATCTTTGGCAAGTTTAACGTACACATTGAATTTCGATGGCTCAGTATTCGAATCGCATAGTTGAACATGGGACGTGTGCAGTGCAATAGTTAAACATGCCCTACAATACGCTTGTATTGCTTGCTTCAAACTCGCGTCCCAGTCTCAGCAAGTCTGTTCGGAAGGATAGCAACTCTAACTTGATACATCGGTAGGCCATCTTAAGTTGTCGTATATGCCAGATGTGCAATCAATAACCTCCGGAGAGGTTTTAGTACACGGCGTATCTTTCAGGGATTGATCAACGCCGAAAGCTTTATCTCTTATCCCTTATGGTTGAACATATACGCACAATCGATGCTACAACACTAAACTCCTCAGGTAATATTTCATAGGGAAGTACCATTAGAAACGAATTTTCCCTCTTCCATTCATCGGAATGTTTTGCCACGAAATGGAAAAGCCAGAGTTCAAAACAAAAGATCATATTCAAAGCGAACGCTTTCGCGCTCCAGTGAAGATTTCCTTCCCACCCACAACAGAGGCTCAGTACTTCTTCGGGAGTCCTTTGCTACTTCAGCGGTATTTCCGTAGATTATGGGATTTTCCTGTCCAGCTGAAGTAGTCCTAGAAAGTGCTTTCCAGGAACTTCTTAAATCGATTCGCTAGACAACTTCTGGAACGCATCCGAGATCGTAGTTTCTTAAGGGATTCCTATTTTTCAAAAATACTTCATAAGAACTGGGTGCGGAATACCTTGAGTTCTTCCCTGACTTTATATTCAAATTTTGTAGCCAATCATGGGGAAACTCGATGTTTGTCGAATAAATGGAAGTTCATTAATCGTGGGTTTCATCTTCATTTCCTTTCTAATCCACCGACTCGTTTTCTTTTCGTTCATGCTCCATCTTCAGCTTGATATCTCCGTTCAGAAACACTGTATTGATCGATCGTTCTGGTTTTTGCTTGGTTTTTCGTGAAATAGAAGACAGTAGCTGTTATATACCGAGGAAGTTCTTGTATCTGTGTTCCCATTGTGTATACGCTTGCCGTACATCCATTGCTCTCCATTTAAAGTGTTCTCTGATATAATCGTTCAGAATGAGGTTCGGGAGTGTCTCCGAATACTTTAGTACTCTTGATCGGTTGATCGACATTGCTACATGGACCAGTGCTACAGAAGCGGCTAAATCGCTCTCTATTAACGACGATCACACCACTCTTCCATTCTTGCACGTGGGTGGCTTTCAAATCTTTTATTGCTTGTTTTAAGCGCAAGTACCGTTGAGTAACATCCTGAACTGTGTCAGGAAGTTAGGAATGCAGATAGCTTGCACCATCTTTCCCGGAGTAGTCGTCGGAGTCGTTAAAGGGGATCGGAGACCGCATCCGAGACACCTGCTTGTTATTAGGTTTAAGGTCTTTGACCGAATCGACGAACGAAGCACAATCCACAAAGTGTATGATCGAACTGAATCAGGGAATGCATCTAGAGTTGTTTCGAATTCATTCATGTCTTATGGAAGCTGCATGGTCGTTTGTGATGCCACCTAATCCACTATCTACCGTCTGAAGATACCGTCATACCGTAGTGTCTTGTCTTATCGGCTCGAAGTCCCCAATTGAAAAAGATCTGTGATGTTTCATTTGTGAAAAATATTTTCATAAGAACTCGCATGGTGTGGTGGTGAACGCACTAGCCCGCGGAAAGGGTAATAGCGCGTTCGATCCGCACAGCAGACACCTGCGGTCCGGAGTTTTACAAATATTTCAGCATCATTATGGTTATTTTCGTTTCGTTTGATGTAAAGCCTTAGCAGCTTGTTTCAGATTGACGGATATGGTGCTCGAAAGAATCGGTCGTTCATCGAGGACGAGGCTTTTGATCAAATTGTTTGTTTGCACTTGCAAGTGATCTATCATATACATGTTTCACGTAACTATGAAGCAGCCTATACTACTCATACACAGGTAAGAAATTGTTTCTTTAAACTTTTCTCTGTGCTATAGTTAGTTTTCCCCGACTTTAGTGGTTCACCTTCCCACTTTTTTTTCTTAATCGTGGATTCATCGAACACCTCTTATTTTTCGTTCCACGACTTTCCTAATTTTTCTGTTTTTCAGATTATGCAGGCATTCAATAAGGAAGTATTGCAAAAGAAAAAAGAAGTGAACTGGTTTATGCCGATTTTTCATCAGTTATGCTCTGATCTGCGTAATATTGCGAAAATGGTTCGTTATAACATCTTTGTGATCGTTTTACATCAAATTTGCAAGTCTATCTCCTGGAATTGAGTCGTATGGTGGTCATATAGGCTGACGAACTTACGGAGAAGGACGACGAGATCGAAAACATCTCGTCGTACTATGAACAGTCGGCCAATTATATTATGGAAGCATACAGGACTTGTACTTCCGATGTGTAAGTTTCTTAGATTATCCATACTTTTCTTGATTCTTAACTTTTATTTGCTGCCTACTACAATTTTTTACGGCAGGGTATTATCTGAAATACAACCATAATAGCGCTGAGATATTTGCAAAATTTTGGTAACGGGTGATTGCTAATGGCACTGGTAGTTAGAAAACTAGCTGAGAGACAGGCAAAGCGAAAGACCCGCATGGTGTGGTGGTGAACCCTTTAACCCCCGGAAAGGGAATAGCGCGTTCGTTCCCCACCACAGACACCTGCGATCCGGAGTTTTGCAAATATCTCAACATTATAGTTGTATTTCTTGATCCTGTTTTTCGAAAACAATTGTATTTGCACTTTTGATTCTAGTGTCTAACCGTGACAATAATGGCAGATTGGTGTGGTTTCTTAGCTTGGTTGTAATATGGTATACTTGTCAATCTCTTTAAGGAGAGCAGATCCCTCCACGACTAAGAAAATCGCAGTGCTAAATATGACTAATCAGCTTTTTCGTATATACTTCAAGTTACGTGTCTTTTATTCATTCGTTTTTTTTGTGTTCTTCTATTACCACTCTATCACTGATATCTGCGTGTCTAATTAAGTGATATGAAATTGCAGGTACCTATTCTTACTATTATACTTTTTGCAGATCAACAAGTTGAATCTATTGAAACCTTTGATTCGCGCCATCGATAATTCGGGAGCACTTTATCAGTCATTCTCGATGGCTGACAAGGTTACATACAATTATTTTTTGGGAAGGAAGGCTATGTTCGATGCTGATTTACCATTAGGTTTGTTTTTCTTTCATCCACTGTTTAACTAGTCTTAAATTTTTTCGTAATTATCCTCTGAAGTTCAAATTTCAGCCGAGAAATCGTTGTCGTATGCGTTTCGCAATTGTCCGTCAGAATGTCTTTCGAATAAAAGGCTTGTGCTCATCTACCTCATTCCTGTCAAAATGTTTCTTGGCCATATGCCCACTGCTCAGTTACTTCACAAGTACCAACTGGATGAGTTTCATGACGTGAGTGCTTTCTACTTGTTAGTAATTCTTATCAACTTACTCACTTGCTTAGATACATGGATGGCCCGTCTTCACTGGTTGTGCGAACCCCAGCATAATTTCCATTTTTTCGGAGCTTTGCTGCTTTACCCATTGTGGTTTCCTAGAGTCCCGGGGTAAGTTAGGCCAAAATCTGCCCGGGTCGTCACCACCACAGACATTCGCCGCTCTTGTGGATTTACCACCATGCGACTAATCTGATACCAGGACAGTGGTGAACCCTAGTATTGGTGCTCTTAGCTGGCCTTCCTGAAAGAAACGCCGGACTCCTTCACAACTGGCAGGCCCTGCTAGAGGAATAAATCCCGCCGCTGTACATGGCAACCCGGTACCTAGGAACACATGCCAGTCACGATGAGGCGGTAAATCGTTGTGAAGTATCAAGATACTACTTTTTTCATTTCATTAATTTTTTTTCCTAGGTTGTGGATGCCGTGAAAGAGGGAAATCTTGCTAAATTGGATCAAGCACTTGAGGCGAACGAGCACTTTTTTATACAATGCGGGATCTTTCTTATGCTGGAGAAGTTGCGTGCCATAACGTTCCGTACGTTGTTCAAGCGAATGTAAGATCTTTTAACTTCTATATAATTTCTTATTTTCATTATCAAGTCAAGAAGCCCTATATTTATCTATTTGCTGCCTATCTATAGAATCTCAGAACACATTTCAGAGCAACAATAATTGGAGGCCATCTGATTCCGTTGAAGGCGTTCTACATAATTATACAATATCTAGGCATTACAGATGTTGATGAAGATGAACTGGAGTGTATTGTTGCAAATCTTATAGCTGAGGTGAGAATTACTGTGCTGGTACTGCTAACTAAAGTTACACTAAAAGAAAATTACACATGTATTTATTGCTATTTCTAGACTAGGTAATCAGTTAAGAATTAATGAAATCACAATTCTTTATATTCATGTTGAGCAAGCAGGAGGTGTGATTTTATTTCTTTATTTATGAAAAAGCTAACGTTTGGGCGAATCGCGCCTTCCTCAAAGCCCTGAAAGGTCAAACTGACCGCAGTCTAGCCAGCTCAATCTTGCTCAACAAGAATATGAAGGATTGTTCGATCAGTGCTAAGTTACTAAGTTCATCTGGTAATGATGTGCAGCTTGTTCATTTTGTCAGAGTAGTGTAATAGTTTTTTCTAACCTCTTTCTGTTTCAGAAAAAGATAAAAGGTTACATTTCGCATCAACACCAAAAATTAGTAATAAGTAAGAAGGATCCATTTCCACCGCTGTCTTCTGTATAGTTTATTAAGATATCGCTTGAATATTTCTGTTCTTACCACATTGCCTATGAGACATCACAACAGGTAATATTTATCCCTTCATCAGTGTGTTGACTCTCTTGTTGGCGACTGATGTCATGTGTCGTTCAATGTTTTCACTCTTCATATTTGAACGGGTATCTTTCAAGGAAAGAACTTTTATGTGCGTGTTTGTAGTTTAAACATTTTTCATTCCCTTTAGTGTAAAGATTCTTGAGTCCTTAAAATCTATTAGGATCCCGAAGTCCAACATGAGTATAGGATCCGCTTGTTTCTTTTTCCGCTCACTCCGATTAGAAAGAAAGATCCGCTTCATTATTTGTCGTGTCAACGATGAGTAATTCATTTTATTGTTACACTTTTAAGCTTCACTGTTTTGAAAAAAAATGAAAGTTTTTCGACAATCCATGTGTCCAATGATGTTTTACTTTTCATTTTCATACTGCTCATCCACTATTTCCTGTACTTATTATTAAATAGAATGTAGTCAGTTTTACGACATCCAGTGTTCAGTTTTAGGTAACTCTAACTGTGTGCTTAAAGTCGAAAAAAATCCGTAACGAATTAGCCTAAGCGTTTTTTATTAAATAATCTTTAAATATACTTCGCTGGTTGGTGTTACAATGGTTGGCTTAGTAACACTGGAAAGTAAACATGGTTTCGTTTCTTTTTCACTTAAGTGAGTTGTACTAGGTAGTTTTTCTTCGGATCGTTCCTTTTCTCAAGCTACTGTTTTCGGATGATAGAAGTGCGGACCATCTACTGTAAGTTGCTGTTTGACTCTGGCATTGAGCTCGTTAAATATCTTAATATTGTATATTTCTAGAGAAAGCATCAAAGAGTGCCACTATGTGGTATGATCTTACGTGATTAACAATAGTGCGTGACAAATTTCAGAGTGGAGGTGTATGGACCAGAAGTGGAAATATGATCTTCCTAGTCTGTTGCGTTTGCATAAACCTCATAGTGTTTTAGTAACCTGTAGGTTTACACTGTTTTTTATTGCAATTTGACTACTCTATATTCTCTCTACACGCAAATCCCTCATATGAGGGATCGTAATAGCAGGTTAGTCGCGAGGCTACGTGGCTCGTTTCCAGATGGAGGATAGGGGGTTAATCGCGGACCAAAAGCGATCTTTTCTTCCCTGAGATGCAAGTGGATCCAGAGGGTGGATTCCCTGTCTCTACTGCGCTGATTTGGCACATACTTTCTGTATCTGCTAGAAGTATTCATGCGTGCATGTGTGGGTGCGTTCTCGCTTATGCAGGATGTATTCTACGAGTCAATTCGGCCAAAAGCCTGCAATCAAGTTGGAATCTCACGAACTGCTGGCAGCCGTATACTCACGTCCGAATTTGCAAAACAATGCAGGCAGGCGATAATAGAAGATCTTAAGAGAGAAGGGCAGCAGTAATGGTCGAAACAGCAGAGACTGGGAAAAGCATTCGCAAAGCCCACCGAAGCTTTGCCAATTATAAGGCCAAGATGATTGCACTCCGGCGCCTAGACGGAACAGTTACAGCGTGCAGAAAGGCAATGGAGAAAATCATTCACGAATACTACTCGGATCTCTTTGATAGCCACGTCCACCTTGCGCCATACGAAATAAAGGAGGATGGATATGTTGTACCACCGGTTCTCCCTTCCGAAATCTGACATGCCATTTCGTCGGTGAAAAATCGGACAGCACCAAGTCCGGACAGGATAAGATCAGAACACCTGGAGAACCTTCCGCCAGTCCTCGTGAACACACTGGCTAGGCTATTCACACGTTACCTGTCTGAATGCAAGGTCCTTACTCAGTGGAAGACCAGCAAGACGGTGTTATTGTTCAAGAAGGGTGACCTACATGATATCGGCAAGTACCGCCCAATCTGATTGCTCTCTGTCGTCTACAAACTTTTCACTCGAGTCGTCCTAAACAGGATTAACAGAACAATAGACGAAGGACGGCCATGTGAGCAAGCAGGGTTTCGAAGAGAATTTAGTACGATGGACCACATCCACACGGTAACAAGGCTCATTGAAATATCGCGAGAGTACAAAAGATCGCTCTGTCTCACTTTCATCGATTTAGAGAAAACATTTGACTCAGTTGAGATAGAAGCAGTCTTGGAATCCCTTGATAGTCCAGGAGTCTCAGTACATAAAGATTCTTCGGGAGTTGTACAAAAATTTTACAACCAAGATATCACCATTCTACAACGATATTAACATCGACGTCAGAAGAGAGTTTAGGCAAGGCGGTACCATCTCGCCAAAATTACTTACCGCCACCCTTGCGAACGTCATGCGAACATTGGAATGGGATAACATGGGAGTGAACGTCGACGGTCGTCAGTTGCATCGTTTTTACTTTGCTGATGAAATCATCCTTATAACACCAGACATTAGCCAAGCGGAACTTATTCTTGCCAACTTTGAAAGGCCTGTGGAAAGATTAGTCTTAGACTAAATCTGAAACCTGGTCGCTGCGTAAGCAGGATAAAAGATCACTCAGCGTTATTGAACGCGCCGTCGAAAAGGCGATGCTAGGAGTATCCCATTTCGCACAAGTAAGAGAAGGAATCCGAAATTCCGACATGCGTCAACGACCACGAATCAAAGATGCCGTTCTCTACGCCAAATAGTCGAAGATAATGTTGGCCCGGCACTTAATGCATATGAATGACAACCGATGGACAAGAGCAGTTAGTGGCTGCATTCCTCGGGATTTCAAACTTACTACACCAAGACCACCGACCTGATGGTCAGAGTTCTTCGTAAAAAGCCTTGAAGAAAGATATGATGCTCGACGAATCCCTAGAGCGAGCAGAACGCACTTGGCTACTCTTGCGCGCGATAGGGAAGAATGGTAGATTTACTGGCGCCTGCTCGAGTCACTCGACGATCAACGAGACTACGCGTGATATTCCCTCTAAGCAAACGTGAGGTGTTCTTTCACTTTTTATTACGAGAAGCTCACGTATGTTTGGATTCCGCCTTCCTTAGAGTATGGAAGAGTTAAGTTGACTGCCATCTATTTAGCCAAACGCCTCCATAACCAAACAGGGAAGGTACTAAAAAGTTTCAGTGGCATTGAAAACGAAAAAAAACTTCGTAGCACACTCACTGCTTTCTGTAAGCCTTGCATTGCGTATGTCACGTGAAGGTCTTCAAAGGACTAGCGAACTTTGTGCGGTTGGTCTCACGTGAAATACTCAATGGAAGACTTATAGAAAGCGCTAGCTGTGCTATGAAGTTATTTTATTTTCAGTGCTTTTGAAATCTTAGTTTAGCACTTCTTCTGTTTGGTTATGGAGGTGTTTGGCTGGGTAAATTGCGTTTTACCTGATCCTTTTCAGGCTCTAAGGAGGCGAAATCCGCGAAAACATTAGATTCGTCATAATAAAGAACAAATTAACACCTCTTGTTTGCTCAACAAGAATACGAAGAATTTTTTGATCATTGACGAGGTTAATAGAAAGTTGGTCATGGGAGTATTACAAATAGTTCCTTGGTCATTGCTTGCTTTACCTGCTTTAGGCAAAGGTAGCGATAATGGTTTTGTTGAGTACCAAAATGCGATCATAAGCCGGTTTGCACAGCAACCAGTCGTTTGGAAACGGTTTGTTGAAATTGTATCTTTTCTATTGTTTTCTCTTCTGATTAACAGGATAATTCACTTATATAGCGTGATTTCTTCGAATACTTTTCTTGTACTGTCCCTTTGCTTCCTTTCTTAAACATTACTTGTCCCGTTTTTGTAGTTATCACGAGGAGTGGAATTAGACTCTAGAATGTCATCGAATGGTGGTGTGCCAATTTAGGAAGCGGCCATTTGATTTCTTAGGGTCACGCTGAGTGGACTGGCGCATGTGTAGCAGTGGTCGCAGGCACCCTGCAATACACATGCAATACACACATGGGATCGGTTTACGCCTCCGCGGCTCACCAAGGCTTCCATCCCTTCTTTGTTGGTATATTGGTACCAGACTTTTCTGGGAGGATAGCACTGGCTCGATACATCGGTAGACCACCGTGAGTAATTATGTGGGCCAGATATGCATTCAGTCTCCACTAACGATGCTTAATGAAGTCGAATGCATGGAACGTCCCTCAGGCATTGGTAAACGCTGAGAGTTTTATCCGTTTATTTAGCCTTTATCCTTAACGTTGAATGGAGTGTATTATTGCGCACTTATATGTCGTATTTTTCAGCCATGGGAAACCTTTCCAGTATCCGTTGACATTTCCGATCACATTTTGCGCTTTCGATGAGACTCTGTGCTTTGGGCCTCATATGACGCAATCAGATCTGCCAAATATTGCATATCTTCATGTTTATGTCATAGATTCAGCAGTAAGTTCTTAGTTTCGGGGCAAAGTGCATCATTTATTTCTTTGTGATCCACTTCTACTATCATATTTTCCAATGCTTTTCCTTCAAATTGCAGTCAGTGGATGAGTATCGCACATCTGTTCGACATAACGTGTCAGAGTGGTTCGCTAAGGTTAGTAATCCTTTTTCTCTTTTACTCATTCTGCATTTTCCTTCAACATATCATTGTTTCCTTTTTGTTTTCTTTTGTAGCCTCATATTTTCTGCTGTTAGTATTTTACTACCTCCGATTTTTTTATTTACTAGTGCTTAGGTAAGCAGTAAAAGTGATGTACAATGGCTAATTATCGTTGACTCCACACGAGCAAAAGAGAAGAAAAATCGGCCATCTCTATTGGAGAAATTACGGCATGACTTCAGCAAACATACTTCGAAGTAATTGTTTTTCATTTTGCTTTAACACTGCTAACTTTGTACAGAAATGTTTGAGGTTGATCGAAGTATCAGAGTCAGTGGAACATGGTTCATTCATGGGCCTTGTGCAAGCTGTCCAAAACGCGTTATTTGCTCACCTTGATATCCTCTCGAACACCTGGGAAGCATCTTTGAGCACTTCACGGGGAAAATACACAGATATGAATTGGAGTCTTTCCTCATATTGCTGTTCGACAGTTAGTGAGACCTTTAGAAGTGTTCTGAGTTACAAATAGTAGAATACTTGTGTACTTGTATCGTATCAACTCTAGTAAATGATGTTTAGATGGAATACGCTAGATTGTTTTGGAGCTTAGGAGCATACGAACATGCCCTGGCGTTATACGATGAACTTGACCAGTACCTCTTTGAAATTGTAGAGGAAATGGCTGTCATAGAAGGTGGGTTACTATCAATGTGTATAAGAAATTGGGCATCACCAGTTTAATTTCAAACAATTATCTGAAAATATCTGGTTTGGAGTCTTACTGATCCTTCCCACGTATGCGATCTTGAACTTGAAAAACATAATGGCGCAGAGGTGGTAGATAGGCGGTTTATTGCAGACCAAACTCAACTATGCACTGGCCGCTGAGTTGTATTGAAATTCGGGAGATTAGACGCGAGCCTTTTTTGCGTCGAACTTTCATGTCCTCTGTGCGCATAAAGCTATACTCGTATGTGGAAGCGTTCGCGTATATATGTATTGCATAGTTAACGTCGATTCGGCAAAAAGAAGTCTAATTGTCGTTGTAGTGAATATTGTTGTTACCTAAATACCTAAATGTTCCATCCTCACTTCACGTGCGCGGCTCAGAACTTCATTCATTTCGTTGTACTGGAGCGGTTGTCCGTGGAGTTCGTTAGGCGCATGTGTGGATTCGGTGGCCACGGAGGATGAACAGTCCTCTGTTATTGTTATGTTGAAAACTAGTGAATCATGGGTTTTTGGAACCACGAGACGCTCATGCCTTCTTTCGACTACGATCCTTCGAGGAAGACAGCTATTTATGCGACTAGTCGACCGATCGGTGGGAGCATATGAAACTGGGCAAATCCGACTATTGTAAATATTATGGTTGTACTAATATCTAATTGTTGAAAAATGAATGGAGCTTCTTTGAATCGTCTTCGAAAAAGAAACTCCATCTCCGCTACAAGAACACTCGAGAATTTGTTCGTGAGCATTCTCACCATTAGGAGGGAGCTTGAAAATTTTAAAGGTGTACTCACTTTCCAAAGACAATAAAAGTGATTCACAGAAAAAAGCTGGTTTTTCTCGTTTTTATTAAGTGAGCGCACAACTGCGCAAGTATGATATACTGGGGAGAAAATTCAAAATTTTGACCTATGTAGACGAGCGAATAGGGCCATTACTGGTGCCCAATTTCGTCATTCTATGACAAAAAGCTTTACAGGTGAAACATTTAAAATTTGGGTTGCCTTTTGATTAAACCTCGAGTTATCTTAAAGGCCACATCAACGTTCGTTGTCCCATCATTTGCATACATCAATGTGACTGCACATATCTATGACAATGACCATTGCTGGATTTTTTATATTTTATACACAGCCCTACCAACGGTTTACCGCCTCATCGTGGCTGTGAGGTGTTCATGGGTGTCGAACTGCGATGTACAGCGAGGGGATTCGTCTCCCCGGCAGAGTCTCCCAATCAGAGAAAGAGTCCAGCCTTTCCATTAGGAAGCATATTTAGGAATAAACCAATACCTGGATCTGTCACCGTCCTAGTGTCAAAGTCGCATGGTAGCAAATCTCCCTCCGATCCACAAAGGCGGCGGCTGCCCGTGGTGGTGAAAACCTGGGGCAGACTTTGGCCAGGCTCACCTCGGGATTCCTGGAAACCACAATGGCTTAACCAACAAATTTCGGATAAATGGTGATTATGCTGGAGCCCACACAACCAGTGAGAACGGGCCGTTCAAGTGTCAAGTTTGTACTGCTGTGTTTCGCTAGATATTACATGTATCCTTCTTCGGCTGATTACTAGTATTTAAGTGAACTCCATGGGTGTCTCCATTAGTACATGTTTCTATAAGGTTGCTCAATAACTCTTATCATCCAGTCCAATAGTCACGAAGAACGCTGAAGCGTGAACAATAATACCACCACACCATGCGGGTCCTTCGTTTTGCCTATCTCACAGCTAGTTCTATCGATTAGTGCTATCAGTAATCACCAATCACCCGTAAACAGGGTTGATCTGTGGAGCCCACATTGGCATTGAACCCAGTTAAGCCGAAACTTCAGTCGAAGTCACAATGTTTACTTTTTATTTGCTGTCGCACTACAATTTTCACGGCAGGGTATTTATTATTCGAAATTAGCCACGACGATGCTGAGGTATTCGTAAAACTTGAACCCAGCGCCAGGTCAAATAATTTCCCTTTCCGAGGACTCGCGGATTACACACTGCGCCACGGAAAAGTTTTGCGAATATCTGAGCATCGTTGTGGTTGATTTTGCATGGCACTCTGCCTGTTAAATTTGTAGTAGGCAATAAATAAAAACGTAAAACATTGTGGCTTTGACTGTAGCTTCAGCTTAATTGGGTTCGATGCCGATGTGGGCTCCCCAGATCAATCCCGTTGACGGGTGATTGTGGATGGTACTGGTAAGTAGAAAACTAGCTGAGAGAAACGCGGAGTAAGGGTCTCTGTGGCGCAGTGCATAATGCGCGAGTCGCCAGAAAAGGAAATCGTGGTTCGATTTGGTCCGGCGTTTCTATCATCAATAGTGAACCAATGCCAGGATCCACCACAATCCTAGTGGCAGATCTCCTTCTGATCCACAAGGGCTGCGACTACTTGTGGTTGGTGACAGCGTGGGGCAGACTTTGGCCAGACTGACCGTGGTATTCCAGGAAACCACAATGGCTAAACCAGTAAATCTCCGAAAAAATGTAGGTTATGCTGGAGTACGCACAGTCAGTGAGAACGGGCCATCCAGGTATCCAAGTAAGTGTAGTGGGAAGCCTTAAGTTTTAGTTTCGTGGTACTTCGTTTCGATGTTATGCGGATACCACTTCTTTAAAAACGTGAGGTAAAAAATTTTGAAGGAGAGCTTTTATTTTCTTCGAAACTATGGCTTCTCATATGGTCATTCGTATTTAATCTAATGTTACGTTATTCATGATTAGAGATCTTATTGATTAGAGATAATTGACGGCTTAGATAATATTTACCTTTTTTTATTGTCTGTTGTTTTTTTTTTTTTCGTAGAAGAGCATTATGTAGAAAACAATCACAATGATGCTGAGCTATTTGCGAAACTTGGACTCCAGGCCAGCTTCAAACCCGCGATTACCACTTCCATGGACTCACGTGCCAGCCACTGCATCACCAGAGCCCTTGCTTTGCAGTTCTCTTAGCCATGACTTTACTGTATCGGTGCTATCATCAATCATCCTTCTACTGGAACAATCTCGAGAGCAGAAATCGGAATTGAACCCAATTAATTCCCATGTTTCCCAGATCATTTACATTGACGAATGATTGCTGATGGCACCATTAAAGTTGAAAAACTGATAGCACTTTGGGGTTAAAAAAAAGGAAATACGTCGTTTTATATGGATGAGATTCGTGTGGTTGACTGGATATGTGTTCAAAGGATAGCGTGTTCTAGCAGGTTGTGAACCTCGCTGGGCTGTTTCTCTTCGTTCGCAAAATCTTCCGTTCCTTTCGTTGTACTCATCGTTTGAGCAGTCGAAAATCGATTTTGAGAAGAATCATAGCTTAATTGGTGAGCATACGGTTACATCGTTATGCAGTCGTTTATTCTGTCTTATGATCAATCTTGTTCATTCTGGTTAGATCTACGCTTTCATGTTTTTTATCCATTTTTCAGCTATTCGACATTTTCTTGTTGCGCAGCAGATATTGCTCAATCTTTATATATACAACGCACGACATAGGTCACGTGGGGCCGCTCCATCGTTGAGGGTCGATTTTGCAGCCCTTATATTGAAGTATACGAAGCATGTGTTGGATATTTCATTGGTGCAGTCTAGAACAGCATTGGTAAGACAAGTTATGAGTTTTTTTTTCTTAAACCGTGAAATTTGCTAGCACTCTCATCCCCGAATTTTACCACGTGGTAGTAGCGAAGCTGAGTTCCTTAGTATTGAGCTGTAAGTTACAGCGAAGATTCAATCGACGTTAGGTCACCTTTGCCTTCTATAGTCTCGTTGATCATCGAACAACGGAATGGAGAAAAGTAAGCTCTACGTTTCTCCTTACCTTATTTCCACATTGCCCTGTGTTCCTTGTTCGCCTGAGGGACCAAAAAGCTTCAATATGAAATCTTTTATTTTTTACTGTTTTTTGGGGTGATTATAGAGAACATTTTTCGCGAAATGTTTTCTAGTTTTCACTTAAATACGTCTTTAATTAGATTATGTATTTGCATTGTTACTTCTCCACGTAACTTACTGTATTATAAAATACTTGGTACAACGGCCGCGTGCGTGTCCCACATTTTCATTCCCTCTTAACCACTGGGCACGCCACCAGACATTGCCTTCCTTACCATCGGGCACGCCTCATTGCTTGGTGAATAGACCCTGCGACCCAAGCCTTGACCCTGCGACCAACGCCACTCGCGTGGACGTGGCAACGCTCCTTAGCATCGTCATTTGGCTTCTAACGACGCCTTGAAGATCGCCATTGCTATTCTATTATCATTTCCCTCTCGCACAATCTTCCTTTACAAATTTATTTGCTTAGCTTGTAATGATATTAACTAAAATCCTTAGCTCTTGCATTGCTAATACATTAATGTTATTGTCGATTCCCATGTAATTACTTTATGCTGTTAACATAACTGTTTTGTTAAACACTTTCATTTCTCACAGGTACCAAGCAATTGTTCACTCTTTATTTATGTGATCTTATAAACTGATCTTTTTAAGCTGACGCGAGGTTGGTACAGATCTTCGTTGTCGTTGTCGTTGTTTTTGATGTTATTGAACGATGGCTGACGTTTCGGCGACTTCACCTTCCTCAGAGCCTGGACGTATTTTATGTTAGAATACTTTTTATTATTCGGTGGAAAAGGAGGTTAAAGTATTAATGAAGATCAAACTTTCAAATAGACGCCATATTGAACTCACAGTGATGTTACGTGTGGGCCAGTCCCGGCGTCTATTTGAAGGTTTGATCTTCATTAATACTTTAACCTTCTTTTCCACCGAATAATAAAAAGTATTCTAACACAAAGTACGTCCAGGCTCTGAGGAAGGCGAAGTCGCCGAAACGTCAGCCATCGTTCAATAACATCAAAAACAACGACAACGAAGATCTGTACCAACCTCGCGTCAGCTTAAGAAGATCAGTTTATAAGATCACATAAATAAATATATCAACTATCTATGCCGAGGTTCATAGAAAGTCGGTCTTTCGAATTGTTCACTCTTTTTGTGTGCTGTGA